GTGTATGTATTGGTAATCACATTGAATGAATCAATCATTTGTACAAGTATCGCAGATGTGTATGTATTGGTAATCACATTGAATGAATTGATCATTTGTACAAGTATCGCAGATGTGTATGTATTGGTAATCACATTGAATGAATCAATCATTTGTACAAGTATCTCAGATGTGTATGTATTGGTAATCACATTGAATGAATCGGCTATTCACTAAGTGAGACCAACAAACTTGTATTTTCTCATTGTACCTTCTTAGCTATGACTCCACTGTGAATGTCTCTTCGGATAAACAAATGAAAGTATTTCTGGATAAAAATGAGTTTCAGGAATGGTATTTCTAACTATGAAGATTCAGGGGCCATGAAATGCCTTGCAAACATAATACAAATTTCCACAAAAGCAATATGCTTAAAATACCAGTATATTGTGAATTGTTAACCTAATGGCTGTCGTGATAAATTTCCAAATGACTGCTTTTTTAAATATCTCTGTTCCCATGTAACACTGGTTCTTCATTTTTTGTGGCTAAACCAACATTGCTAAGGGTATCGAAGTAATTATACGTCATTCTTCTTTGTTTGCCTTTGGGGTACACATAATAGTACCTGTATGAATAATCCAAAAACTGGCATACACTTTATTGATATACTATTATCATATTCATGTTCTAATTAACTTAAGTGCATAAATATTCTCTGTAAATACTGTTTATAATAATATATTATACAATTTACATGAATGAATATCGTTAATATCAATGTTAATATTCGACAAAAATAGTTTCTTTTTCAGGTTGCAGAGCTTATTGAGCAATCAGATGAAGCTTGGATATCCACAAACAGGAAACGGTGTATTCAAAGTTTATAGTGACTCATAATGTAACTGGTGAATATATTTTCACCACAATTTAACATTACAGGCTGGTTCCCAAGATGAACATTATATTCAGAAGACGTCATACAAACACTGCGGAAACATTGATATCAGAAAAAGCAGTTTGGCACACTTGGTAATCTATATTGATGGTTGTTTACTACATCACCTACCAGAAAATCTGTGGAAATTATAAATTCATTTATTACTCGTTAGGATTAATTACAGATTACAGCACCTGACGGAAACTACTAGAGAATATACCTTGGTCCAAAAGAAACACCCTAGGCCTTGCCTAAGGGTCACCCCTAGGGCGATCACGCGATCAAGGCCACTCTGTCTAAATTCTCTTTCGTTTCTGACGCAGTTCACAGGGATATTTTTAACCGCTGGGTGTCTTGCGTAACAAAAGATGCAGATTGCAGTATTTCCTGAGCTTCCTAGAAAGTGTGCTTTGATGATCGACAATAGCAGTTTCTATATCACGGTAAGGGTTTTCCATTATAAGGGCCCCCAATCTCGCCTGTTCTTGTGATCCAACCTCCCCGGATGGGGGAGCCGCCTTTGATTTCCTTTGCATCAGCACTCTCCTCTCCTGATTGGTACCCTTTGGAGACAAGGAAAAAAACTGATCTTGGTTTTGGGTCGATCCTGTCCCATGTCTTCTATTGTGGGAGCCGAGACCCCATCGTGGCTACACGGGCCATCGACGAGTCCCTGGTTTGGGATACTCGTTCTGTGCCACAGCCTCCTCCACAGGTTCCCTGCCCTGATCCTGGAACCCATGCCTTTGATAAGGTGGGTTGCACAGATTGGGAAGGCCATTTTACCGGCACTAGACCCTACAAGGGCATTGGGCTCTATGGGCAGAACTTAGGCCAATCATCTTTATGGAATAGGTTTCTTGGCTTCAGAAAGTTGATATGCGCAACATCCGGCAAGTCCATACTACCCTCTTGGCAGGAGGGGTTTTGGTTGAGCGGGATGCAGTACTGAGTCAGTGCGCCTATCCTACTCCAGTAGGAGACAAGTTTGATTGCCTGTGGAGAAGGCCTTGGGTGCGTGGTCGGGGTCTCCTTCTAAGAAACAGAAGAAGGCCGGTAGTGGGAAGCATCAGAAGGGGTCCAAGAAACATGGCCCTGGTTGTAGGACGTCCTGGCACTTCTGGGCATGGATGGTAGTACAACTCTGGTTTCCCATTCAGAGTCCTTGGGCTCAGCCTCCCCGTCTTCGGTCTTCCTGCGCTGGAGGGAGCTCTTGCTTTGAACCACCATCCGCTCTTCCCTGTAGAATGGAACCTCAAGCAGCCCACACCAGCTTGGCGCAGGAGTTTTTGACCCCTGGACCCTCAGAGTAGAGTCTCAGGGGTATTGGATTCCTCTCCAGTCTTCTTCTCTGACTCCTCTGGTCTTCTACCGAGGGACGAGGTCAAGGTGGAGACGACCTGACAGGAAGTAGCCTTCTGAAGTGGGGCAGCTGGCCTAGTGGAGAACCCCCATTAGATCTTCCTCATTCCCAAGAATTCAGGAGGCTGGTGTCCTATCCTATACTTCAGTCGGTAGGATGGGTTTGTGGAGCTCAATCGCTTCTGACTGGAAACGCTCTAAGGGTGGGGCGGCCATCTGATGGAACATCAAGTCCAAGGGATGTGGCCAGCCATGTTGCAGACCGTCCATAATATCTGAAACATTTTCAGAATGTCGCACACGACCACAGAGTCCTGCTCCCCACCTTCCGAGGATATGCAACAGCACCACAGATGCCCTCTTGAGATGTAATCGGTTTCAGAACACCGAGTGGCAGATCCCCCAATGGGTGGCAGATCATCTTTGTTTGTCTCTGGGACGGTCTCTGGATAGATCTGTTTGCCAATCACCGGAATGCCAAGCTCCAGACGTACGTGTCACCTCTCCCAGAGACGAGCGCCTTTGCCACAGATACTCTATCGATCTCTGGGAGTCCCATGGACGCTTACGCCATTTCACCCTTCCAACTAGTGCACCAAGTGTTGGAGGAAATGTGACTCGAGCCCACCTGCCTTCTGAAACTATTTGCGGCCAATTGGCCAGTGGAAGTCGAGTCCCCAGTGGAGTTGTTGGATCTTCCGGATCTGTTGTCCCAGTCGGATGGCACTCTTCTGCTGAGCACTGTGTTATTCCATCTTCACACGTGGAAGTTGTCGATAAACTCAATGCAAGTGCAAGGCTTTTCTGCAGAGTTGTCCAAGTTCCTCACTTCGACACAGTCGGACGACACCAGACATTTGTATGAGTCCAGATGGAGACTCTACATCGATTGGGGTAACTGAAGGGAGATTGATCATCTCTGTCCCTCTATTAGCAAGGTAGCCGATTTTTCTTGTTTTTATTTGTTCAGGGAAAATCTATATCGATGATTCTTGGATATCGGTCAGTTTTGTTCCCTTTCTTATCAGAGTCTGCTGGACTTAAACTAGCCTTGAGTTCGGTTATGCAACAACTGCGTGCCAAAGGGCTAACGAATCCTCCAGACTGGAACTGGTCGTTGGTCCTGGTGGCGCTACGGCATCGCCCTTCAAGTCCATGGGAGAGGCCGACATGAAATGTGTCACTATGAAAACAGTTTTTCCCTTGGCTCTGGCGTCAGGTAGGTGGCGTTCAGGGATCGGAGCACTGTCCTTCAGGGACGAATGTACTTCATTTATGAACTCACAAGTTGTTTTGAAGAATCGGATAGGCTTTCTTGCCAATAATCAATCCCAGGGCGTAATCTTGTCATCCCACGTCTAGCTAACATAGTAGGCATGAAGGACCGCCAGGAACGGATTCTATGTCCTGTCCGTGCTCTGAGTTGGCTCTTTGATCGCACCATTTCACAGTGGATTGTCGATACGGTCATGGAATTGTACACTTTAATGGCTTTTTCAGCGACCAGTTTTGAACAACAGGTGTGTGCAGGATAGCCAAATCTTTGCCTTCAAGCGGGGTTCTGGAGATCTCAGAATTTTTCATTAACTTCTACCCGAGAGAGCCTCCAACCTATGGAGGAGAGTCTCTACAGCAGCACCACCATGCACGAAAGTGTTAGCGCGATGACGCTTTCGACTGAAGCCAGCCTTTTTTCTTGGAACTGCTGGTTTTGATCTGCGCTATCCAGCCCAATAATATACTGTTTAATGCATTAAAATTGTCGGGCCCTAATTATTGTTCAGGTGGCCGGCTTTAGTATGCCTCCCTATATTGGGGAGTCTACTCTTGAGGCACCCGGTTCCTGATTGGTTGCATTTTTTGTGTTAAAAATTTGCATTTCAGCCGTCTGACCTTCCCAACCACCAGTAAGCGTGCTACTCTGCCTAACGAGTAATAAATGAAATTTATTATTTCCACGGATTTTCATTGTTTACATGATCATACCTACCTGAAAATCCGTGGAAAAAACGGCTAAGATCACGATCGTTTATTATAATAACTTATACAATGTTTAATCTTGCAATGGGGGGGGTGGTTAGATATTTGGGTTACCATTATACCGTACAATATGGCGTCACGTATACACCAAAGTCTATACAAATACACAATGTTGTTTTACCCAGAGGTATGTATGATTTTTTTTATTTCAATAAGCGCGGTGGTCGTCGGGCCGCGCATGTTCGACATTTGTGTTGATAAACATTGATTTCCTCACAGTTCAATGCGCTATTCTAATAGAAATTACATGTACAAGTTTTGACCTGGGCGCGACGTCCACTGATTACTACAGGTGACTGACTTTCATTCAAAGTCTTATTCTTGAAAATATATATTGAAATGATGACGACCTAGAAGCCCAGATATTAATACATGTTTTTTTTTGATGTTTTGAATTTTCTAATGGCGGCAATGCAGGAGCCGAAAAAATGAATTTATACAATTTACAGGTTTGCAAATCTTCAAAAAAATTCAACGAAAATACATAGTAACCCTGAATAAAGGAAATACCTGTAAACAAACGACACGACAACAAAACTAACAACCAAGTAAGTTAAACAAGATGTGAAGATGTATTATGATCATAGCCTCTAAGTGACAGTACATTTTAATAAAATTACATCTATGCATACACATCATATAATGATGTGTTGTATAACTAACCCCAATGATACAACACCTAACTATCAATATCGGAATTTTTAACCATATCTGGACAAATATAAGACATAATCAAATTGACTTCTTGTTGTACAATATGTGGTGATAAATGTACCACAGGCATATTGAAATGAGATTGAACCATGTCCCACACTTCAATAAAACTTACTCCGATATCTCGGAAAATATAACGCGTAATTCTATTCATATCATATAAAATCCAATTATTCTTTCGTGGTGGGGCAACATTCATCCCGTCAATGGGATGGGCCAACTTGACCAAGACTATTGCATCTGGACATCTGACCATTAACCGTTGAACCGCTAGCTTGGCATGAAAGATTCTGTCTATGTACGCAGAGTTCGACCACCAACGGAAATGGTACATTAAGGATAGAATAACCACAACTTGTTTTGCGCTACAATCAGCTTGTGAAATATCATCAAGATAATCACTCTCCAACACCATTCGTTCAACAGGGACTGGGGAACCACCGATCCTCGGAGCATCAAATTGATAGTGAATGTCTGCTTTGAAATTGTGTTTCAAGTACGTTTGCACGCCGTTCAATGTTGCGTCACCGTAAACTCTGATCAACTTTTTTGACAAACATATTTCTCCTGTATTTTTATCCCACTGTTGACTTTGGCAAACCATCGGAATGAATGTAACGTTGTCAACCCAATAGCCATCGGATACAGGAATCGGTAAATCAGGACCACACGGCGGCAGTGCTGGAGTGGATAGATCAGAGCCTGAAATAAATAAAAGTCCAACATCTTAAATGTATCTGTTATGGATAATCTGTTGTCAAGTTAAAATTTAGCTGACGTGTGATAAGCTCTCGTTCTAGTTCAACAATTCTCCTGTAATGTATATTGAATCAGTGGAAACCAATAATGTAATAATTAATTAACTAGGCAGATGAATTAAGATTTTTTTAATTTCTGAGCCGCTGGTGGCATTTATTAACAACGGTCGGTATAATAATAATCGCAGCTGTGATTCACATTTAATAATAATACTCGCAGCTGCGATTCACATCTAACACTGGCTTACTCCACTGACTGTAATTCAATAACAATGTTTTTCATCACCTAGAAGTGGTCGTAGTGTTTTAATCAATATTCAGTTTTATGTGGCCTGCGAGAAGCAAACTGAGTTTTCGTTTTTGACTCCCATGTGCGAAGCACATAATGGAGTCTTTGCAGTTTGTGTGTGTGTGTGTGTATGTGTGTGTGTGTATGTGTGTCCGACTGTTCCACTGCTATCTCAAGAACCATACATCGGTTTTTGATAAAACTTGGTGCATAGATGCTCTGGGCCAATGCGCAGATTTGATTAGGTTTTGGTAAAAATCCATGCTCGTTAATTACCTAATTTGCATGATAATTAGCTAATTTTTAGCTGTTCTATGACTGTTCCACTGATATCTAAAGAACCACTCATTGGATTTTGATGAAACTTGGTACATAGATGCTCTGAACATATGCGCAGATTTGATTAGTTTTTGGTAAAAATCCGTGCATATTAATTACCTAATTTGCATGATAATTAGCTGATTTTTAGCTGTTCCATGATTGTTCCACTGATATCTAAACAACCACTCATTGGATTTTGATGAAACTTTGTACATACATGCTCTGAACTAATGCTAGGATTTGATTAGTTTTTGGTAATAATCCGTGGATACTAATTACCTAATTTGCATAATCATTAGTCAATTTTTGGTTTTTCCACTGATATCTCAAGTACTAATCATCACATTTCAATGAAACTTGGTACATAGATGTCATAT